CCCTCTCTTCATTAATCCCTCCCACCATCCTCCCTCTCTTCATTGATCCCTGCCAACATCCTCCCTTCTCACATCATACCTCTCTCCCTTCCTTTAAAAATACATAAATAAAAAGTTCCTGTATGCATTCCCCTTCCCTTTCTCCCTCCCTCCCTCACTCCCTTCCTCTCTTTGTCTCTATTGCACTGCATTTAACCTGCCCAACTCGAGGTTACCTACTTTGGTGTTCCTTCAGCCCCCTCGGCTCCCGCTCGGCTCCCCCCACTTGGCTCCGCAAGCCTTAAATCACCCGTCCACCCGGGCCTGGAGGCACTGCACTGCGCGCCAAGCTTTTCCGAACCGCCAGCGGTGTACTTTTTTTCTTTTCTCAGGATGGCGCCGCCACCCATTGTGCTCCGGTAGACCTGAGCCGCAGAGATTTCGCAGCTGACAATTTGCGCGATTTTCTGCAAGGCACTACGTAGGGCTCAGCTTCTTAGAATCTGCTCAGCGGCCTAAGGTTGCTCCTCCGTACTATGGTGTGTATGGATCATTGCCCTGGCTATGGCTGCGCGCAGAGTCTCTCCTTCATGCGTCAGAAACAAAGCGCTGCTCACTACCTGGAAGAAAAATAAAGTGCAACTTGCTATCGCCGCACTACTTTTGTCAAAGCTTTTTTGCCTGGGTCAATGCAATCCTATCTTCGGCTTCTAGCCTACCGTCTTCCCCCGAATGCAACCTACGGTCAGTATGGCTGTATATGGGGCATCTTTCAGTCTAAATACAGCTATAATGACGGTACGACGTACGTTGTATTTTGGGGAAGACAGTAGAAGATTCTAAAAGTGTGCATGCTATAGGTCTAAGGTCAGATGACAGAGGCACTATAGCATGCACACTTTTTCGATTTGCTATAGCTTTGCCATAGCTTTGCCATAACATAGCTTTGTTATGACAGAGGCACTATAGCATGCTCTAGGTCTAAGGTCAGATGACAGAGGCTTTATCACTACTCAGGTCTCAGGTTCAAAACTTCAAAGCTCATTTCAATCTGCTCAGCAGCAAACACAGAAAAAACCTGAACGACAGCAGCACTTCGCACGTACGTCGAAGTTGGGTCAGGTGCTGGCTTCAGATCCCACCCAACCCACCCACCATTAGGGCCTAGCCCCTTGAGAAGAAAAGGGGGAAATGGAAAAAGAATACAAACAGGATCTCCTGTTCGGTTTGTTCAACGTGGTTTGGCAGATTTGAACCGGAGACCTATGCTACGTAGTGATACAGCATAGCTTTTTTTGTTAAAGCTTTGTTCTAACAAGCCACCCGGAGCTTTGCTATAGCTTTGCCATAGCTTTGCTATAACTTCGCCATAGCATAGCTTTGTTATGCGCCTGATTGAAAACAAATCCAGCATGGCACTCACGCATTCCCATACGCATGCGCAATGACAAGCAGACTTGGAGAGAGAGCAATCCTCGCCAAACCAAATGATGAGAATAGTACGCAGAATACGCAGCGGAAGCATTAGAATTGAATTGAATCCGATCAATTCTGAAGTATACCGTAGCTTTGAAATAGCTTTGCCATAACTTTGCTGTCGCTCTGCCTTCTCTTTGCCGTCACTTTGTCGTAGCTTATCAGCAACGTCCAGAAGGGCTTGTAAACTGCCAGTACACGACCCCAGCCTTCCTAAAAGAAGCTCGTTGCCTGGTCCAAAAAGTTCAGGGATGGCGTGCCGTTGATAAAAAAACATCGGCAGCCAGCGCGCTGTCGATAAAAAACATCGGCAGCCGGCGTTGCGTTTCGGCTCTCCGAAAGAGGCCTGCGGTCGATGTATGGTGTGAAGTACTGTGTCCTGGTGGCGGTTTTAAAGCCGAGCTTTGCCATAGCTTTGCCGTAGCTTTGCTGAGGCTTTGCCATAGCTTTGCTTTGCCATAGCTTTGCTATAGGTTTGCCATAGCTTTGCCATAGCTTTGCTATAGGTTTGCCATAGCTTTGCCATAGCTTTGCCATAGCTTTGCCATAGCCTTGCTATAGCTTTGCTATAGCTTTGTCGGCATAGCTCATAAACAGCTTCTGGAAGGGGTTTTGAAGTCGAGCCTTGGCAAATTTATTTTTGTATCTGTCTTTCTGGGATGTCAATCTCATCTGCAGGTTTTTGTAATCAGGGACTATCTACGTGAAACGCTGGCGCTGAGGTGGCGTGCTTGGATGACCAAGGAGTACATCGGCCGATACTTCGGTGATCGGACGTTCTACAATATACAGGCATGTATTTGTTGTGTACTGCTTTTTTTTTTTGTTTTGTTTTGTTGCTGTTGCAAGTATGGAAAAGTCGCGAAAAAGAAAAAAGCATGACTTTGTTATGGGCATGCCATCCGTCACGCCGATCACGGTACTTATGTCGTTTTCACCTGATTTTGTTTGTTCTTCAATATGCGCATCCTCGTGGTATTCTTTTTCTTTTTTTATTATATATATGCTTATTAATAATGCAATAAACTCAGTTCAAATCCGCACAGCCATTAGTCAGGGATAGTAACTTTTGGTCCGAGTCAAAATTCAGCAGTCCAAGTCAAAATTCAGGGGTCAAAAGTCAAAATTCAGGGGGGGCAAGTCAAAATTGAGGGGGCCCAAGTCAAAATTCAAGGGTCAAAAGTCAAAATTCAGGGGGTCCAAGTCAAAAGTCAAAACTCAGGGGTCAAAGGTCAAAACTCAGGGGTCCAAATCAAAATTCAGGGGCAAAAGTCAAAACTCAGGGGTCCAAGTCAAAATTCAGGGGAAAAAAAAAGTCGCACTCCCACTAATAGACTGGAGCCATCTGAGGGAAGTACCACAGGAGGCTGCTCTCAGAAAAGAGCAGTCTGATTTTCAAAGTCTCTTTGCACGATTTCTGCTGAACTGATGTCCAGCTGATGTGCGAAGAAGATGAAACACCCGATGGGAAATCTGTGACACCAATGCAGACAATAATCTTGCATGTCTGTGAAAGAGTGGGGGGGG